TCTACATTCACTCCCTAGCCCTAGAAAACCACTTGCCTTTCTAAACATGGAGTGGTTCCCTAGAAGACAGTAGCTAGGTAGAAGCAGCTTTTCTTTGTAAAGATAGCAGATGTGGGGAGGGTGATCAGCTAACTGGACCTTGGAGTCTGATGGATTCAGGTCAAAACCCGAGGTCACTTTCTAGTTGTATGCACTTAACTAGTTAATGATACCTTAGTTTTCACTACCCCCAACTTATTCAGAGGACTGCATGGAATGATACCTGAATGGGATAGGCACGGAGAACGTACTCCTCACAGATAACACGAGTTAGTACACCCACCTGACCCTGACACTTCCAAGCTCTAATCATTACTTAGCCATTTATTGGATGACCCTCAGCAATACATTGGATTCCTCCAGTTTCTACTTTTATTGAATGAGGAGGTGTCTAAGGGTGCTTCCAGTCTGAAGGCTCTGTGGCCCTGTGGAGAGGGAGGTTTCATTCCAGGCTGTCTTACACGCACGCATCAGCCACTCTGAGTTTCTGCATCTTGAAGCTTATGCTGCAGACTCTCTTAGCTTCCTCTGCAGTAACTGTGGATATCTGTCTTAGTTTCTTTTCTGCAGCTGTGCTACAATACTCTGACAAAAGCAACTTAAGGGAGAGGGGTGTATTCTGCCTTATAATGTGGAGTACAGTTCATTATAGGGGGGAGTAAGGGCAGCAGGAGCCTGAAGCAGTTAGTCCCACTGAATCCACACTCAGGAAGCAAGAGGCAATGGATGCCCACTGCTTCTCTGTTCCCTTTCTCTAACTATCGCAGGACCCCAGACTGGGAATGGTCCTGCCCAATGGGTGGGTCTCCCCTCATCCATTAAGGCAGTGGAGATAACCCCCAAAGGCTTACCCAGGGGCATGTCTCCCAGATGATTCTAGATTCTGTCAAGGTGACAACACTAACCATCACACTGTCACACCAGAATGTGATAAGCTGAATCACAGAGTATACCCTCATGTCCTGGATAGTCTTATGTTAACTTGACACACTAGAGTTATCTGAAAAGAGGCAACTTCAACTGAGAAAATGCCTCCATAAGATACTGCTGTGAGGCTTTTTCTTAATTAGTGATTGATAGCGGAGGGCCCAGCCCATTGTAGGTGGTTCCATCCTTGTTTGGGTTTGTGATCTTAGAGTTTTATAAGAAAGCAGGCCAAGCAAGCCAGTAAGCAGTATCTTTTCATGATCTCTGCATCAGCTCCTGCCTCTAGGTTCCTGGCTTGTTTGAGTTCCTGTCCTGACTTCCCTCATGATGAACTTTATGTGGAAATGTAAGCCAAATAAACCTTTTCCTCCCAGCTTGCTTTTAGTCAAGGCATTTCATCACAGCAATAGAATCCCTAGCTAAGACACCTCACAACAACCATGAAGTAATATTTTTATCATTGCCCATTTTACCAAAGAAGGGTCCCAAGAGTCAGAAGGTTAAACAATTTCTCAAAGACAGTAAATATAAAAACTAGGAGTCCTCCGCTACTTATAACTTGAACAAGCTATCTCTTACTAGCTTCAGCTCCATCTTGTGGACTACAGTAGCTCATCTCATAAATTACTCCATATTAATAACTTTCTGTGTTACACCTGCCCTGTAGCATATGGACATACTAATGAAGGCCTGCCACCTCTGAACCAACAGGGAGCTCATCAGGGATTCTTAGACCTTGTAGCTGGTGGGTCAAGGTGAGAGTCAAGATGAGCAGGATTGAAGCCCATCTTTCAAATATGTGCATATTAGCACCTGGCCAAACAGCTACTCAACTTCCAGGTGAAGCTGCTGATGAAGTTACAGCTTTTTCCAAGCCCATAAGGCCATGAGCAACTCTTTAAATCACACTTTGTAGTCACACAGCCCCATATTTACCCAATGAGTAGGCTTGTGTAGATCACTTAGCCCCTCTGGAGTGTTATTTATTATTACATTTATTTACTGTGTACATATGTGTGTACACGCATATGCCAGGGTGCCCGTGTGGAAGTCAGGTGACAACTTGTGGAGGTCAGCTCTCTTCCTCTAAGGAACAGAGACCTAGAAATAGAATCAAGGTCATCGTGCTTGGTGGCAAGGTGGCCTCACCTGCCAAGTCATCTCACTAGTTCCTCTGAATTTTCTTATCTTCTAAATGACCTTGGAGAAGTTATCTGTAAAATGGGAACAACATTAGCAAACGGGTGTAGAGTGCCTGGTCTGTCACTGAACCAGATCAACCCAATGATAGAGAAATGGAACTTGAAAGAAGGCAATGTTGTTTGCAAAAATCAGGCAGAGGTCACTGGGCTTGTATGACCCAAACTGGGGAGAGTTGAATGTCCTATTGTAGCAAAGGCCCTAATCACCTTGACCTTTACCTGGTAGAAAGGGCTGAAAGCTGAAAGCGCCCTTTCCAGGGGAGAGGTTCCTGCCTGAGCCAAGTGGCAGAGTAATCACACACCATCTCTCACCCTCTGAGCACCCTGAGTTGCCCTGGTAACAGTGAGCTATTCTCAGCCTTCTCTATGGGAACCCAGCTTCTCTACCCATTTCCCATGGCTCCTGTTGGTCTCTTGTTCTATATCCCTTACTGAGTCCTCTCCCTCCTGCCTCACTAGATCAGGGTGGGGGCTAGAGGGATGAAGGGGAAAAGGAACTGACATGCAGCTGGGCTTTAGCTTTTGATTTCCTTATCATCTTATTTCCTTAGTTACGGCACATTTCCATTTATGGAGTACTTTCCCTTATAAAAATCTCTAAGTGTTTATTTCTAATCTACTAAATAATTCCTCTGACCTCTTCTTGTTTTTACCCTTTAAATATCTGTTGATGGTTCACTCACCACATTCCCCATTCCATTATTAATGACCCACAAAACTCACTACCAGCAATCATTTACTGATTAATCTGCACAGCAATCCAGAAAGACAGGTAGGATTAATCCTTAGTTCTATAGAGGGAAACCAAGGGGAAAAGGGGTGAACTCAGACGCCCAAGGTCAGTAGCTCCACAAGATTATAACCAGGACCTAATCTGTCTGTATTTCTGTGAACACCTCCCCCAGGCTGTGTCCTTTTAGGGAAAAAAAAAAAAACAAAAACAAAAACAAAACATAGTCCACACCTAACTTTAGTTGCAAAGAGGACATTGATAAGAGTGGCTAAAATGGGGGCTGGAGAGATGGCTCAGTGGTTAGAAGTAAAACTACTCCTACAGAGAGGACCTGTGTTCTTAGCACCCAAGCTGGATGGTTCACAAAAGGCTGTAATTCCCTCTCCAGTGAATTTGACACCCCTGGCCATGGACAGAGGACACTGCATACACACACACACACACACACACACACACACCCTTTAAAAAGAGTAGCTAAAACGAACGTTTACTAAGGCAAGAAAAAAAAAAGTGAAAAAATTTGGATTACACCCAACTCTGCCACAATGAGACTAAAAATCCTCTTAACTTCTTTGCATCTCTGTCATCTAAAAAAATGAGATAACTATGCTAAATGACTTCTAAAATATCTGTATGCTTTAAATAAGGCTGAGCACCTACTGAAAGGGCAGAAAATTTAAAGGTTCCCAAATCCAATGCCAAGACCATGATAGACTGGTGCACTGTTCATCACTAATGAAGCCAGCTACCACTGAAGAGCTGATAAGACTGATGATGCCAGTCAGCCGCAGAAACACAGACCTGTAGAGCACTGGCTTGAAACTTTAACTCATAAGTAGTCTTTTACCCTTAGATATAAGTCAGTGGAAACAAAAAGGCATATACATCAGAAAATGTATATTTCAATTCTTTTTGCTGAAGGCGACACTGATATATATTTAAATGTATGTTTGTAAATATGTCTTGCCAAATAAATATATAACCACCAAAAGTACCAAATTAAAGTAGCCAAAGATGATGGAGATTTGTACTCCTATGACAATTATGGACAAGTTGTTAGGCATGCATGAACATAAGAAAAAGCAAATTCGTTCATAGTTAAGCTTATTGTTTATTCTTAATATTTTAACCATTTTACTGAGCATTGCTTGTCAGTTAACACACATCTCTTATCATCTCTCATCAACAACTTAAAACTTTCCCATACCTTGCTTTAGTTTGATAATAATAAAATCCCCTGAGTCATTTTCATTGGCTCACATAGTATTCATAACATCATTCTTCTGGAACGACTTTTTGCTTTAACTATATAATTCTTTAGTGTCTTCAGAAATGCTTTGCCATTCTTTGTTTTTTATTTCATTTCCTTTCTGGCGCTGGGATTGGCCTCAACAACTTGAAGATGAACACGTGGTAGACAAGCACTCTACCACTGAGCTGCACCCCAGCCCTAGTGCTCTCTTCTCTTACAGGTATGAATACCTCCAGGGTGGCCTTGCAAGGCTAATGTCTGGCAGCTGCCTTCCCAGGACCCAGTGTTTTCTTGAATAACCGATCTATGGGTCCACCCTCCGTGTTCAGGAAAGTCTAATATTCTGTTTCCAGAGCTTTATGTCCAGACAGGAAAAAGCTGCTTCTTGGCAGTAGAGAGTTAAGGAGAGACTGGGCTTCCCATAGGGACCTTCATATCCTCTCTGTTCCTTAGATGTATTCTCTTACTGCTACGTCATTTGTACATCTTTGATCACAACACCTTGGAAAGACTAGAGCCAATGAATTAAAACTATGATTCTAGGCCTTGTGTGTGCCAATGAATGTCCTCATTAAGGCAGGATGAGGGAGATGAGATTGGTTTCAAAGCTCCCCATCTCTTTGCCCCAGAGCTGCTGAGGCCAGGCACTGACAGGATGCACAGTAAAATTAAATATCTAAAAATTCATCTTTAATTAACAAAATTGGATTAAAGCTAGACACCACGGCATATCATACAAGAAACGGCTGAGCTGGCTTCCAAGTGCTCTAATTCAATTAGGACGCAGTGAGTGACACTCAGACCGGGAAAGGTTAATTGGGGCCGCCAGAACGCAATCATTCCTTACCTAACCAGTCATTAAACTTCTTAACCTCTGAGGGCAGTCCCAGCTCGGTGAAATCGCCTGTGTGGAGAAGGATGTCCCCATAAGGCATCTGGATACCATCTGTTCTGGAGTGTGTGTCTGAGATGCAGACAAACCGCGTGTGGCCCGCTGGTTTTGGAGTGTCATATGGGATGGGGTCGACCCTAAAGTAGACATAACAGATCCCGTAACAGTTAAACATGTTAGAACCCTCATGATACACATCACACATACATATCAACTGTCATTGTGCACACACCCAAACAATCCAACATAAGGACAGAAGGACCCAAGGTAGCAAGGGACACCTGGGGGATGTGAAGAAGATAGCATCCCTCATGTACAGTCCCACTAGGAAAACTCAAAATGTGTTACTTACCTTGTAGGAAAATTAAAAAGGAGTCAGAAAGGCCTAAGCGACTGGTAGTGATTAATACTGAAGTTTTGGGATATTGAGCCCTAACTGAGGAAGCAAAATCATGCCTTTTCTCTCTCACCATGTTTCAACTGATCCCACCGTTCATTAGGAAATAAATATCTCATTTATTCCTCCTTAAGCATGAATAGCTTAAGCAATGAACTAATTTTCAGAGAGCAGCCCACACATGCTCTGACAACTGAGATGCGGAGACAGCACTTTATGTTCAGTTTCCTTTCCACACTCATTCAACACTTGAGTCTTCCAATTTTTGCTAGGAGGGTTACTGATCAAGCTGTGGGGAGGGAAAAGGATGCTGCCTAACAAGTCTTTAACAAAATGCATACTAGAAGAACTTTGTCAGGTTCATCTTTACCACCAGGAATTACCTGTACCCCAGGTTACAAGGGATGCTCAGATACCTTGGGCAAGGATTCTCTTTGGTACAAATAGTATGTCTTCTAATGGATCTGTATATGCATTAATACATGTATAGTTTCAGAGACCTAGAGCACTGTGAAATTACACGAGGGCCATAAGAAACAAAAGGCAAAGTGATCAACCCGAAGCAAAGAAAATGAAACAGAACACTTTTGTTTAATTGAGTGTAACAAAGTGTGCTAAATAAACTTGGTAAAGAAATGCAAATCTGACTCTCAGAGCATACAGTTTTAATTATTTAAGAAGCTTGTCCCCACTTTAAGGATGGTTTAACTGTATCAACTCTCTGACCACAACTTCCTTTAATTTCTTTGTAGCCTTGTGCACGTATTGTTGGACCACAGAAAGAAAGCAGCAGCTATAAAGGCAAAGAGAAGGTTATCAGAGAAGCAACTAGGCACTGGGGGGGGGGGTGGAATATAAAACACTAAATAAGGAACCCCGTGTTTTATATCACAACCCCACCCTTGATAGTTGGCAAGCATCAGAGAACACGGGGAAACACATGAAAACTTCTGATGCAGAATGTCTCTGCAGGGTTTGTTTAATGTCCTTTTCTCTCTGTCTTTTTTAAAGAAACAATCTATTTAACAAGGTAATTGCAGTAAGAAAATAAAGACATTCGTATGCAGCCAGAAGAGTCCTTAAATTTCTTCCATGTGAGCGTAATCTTTTCATCTCTGTCAAAGTAAAGGAGAAGAAAGGAGAAGAAGAAAAGAGTGAGGGGGCATCAGGAGCTGGAACAGTTACTGAAGTCAGTCTAATTAGAAACCCCCAAATGAAGTTTCACTTGTACAAAATACATCCACAAAGGCTGTAGTTTTCCTGTAAAGGCCACAATGGAGAAAGGTTACTAACCCACTGATCTTGCCAGTAGCCTGTGAGACCTCTTAATATATGCAAGGAAGCTTTATCTTTTTACTCAGGGAAGTCTTCTTTCCCTCACTGAAACTCTTCCATTCAGGCTCAGTAGTTCCCACCTTACCAACATTTCCTGTCTGCCCAAAGTTGTTCTCCCAGAGAATGGGTGAATGTTCCACTTGGTAACTGACTGTGTAACCCCCTAAAAGGGACAGCTGTGGCTCCTAGACAGAAAATTCAGCTACTTACTCTAATGGGACTGCTGCTTTCAGACCCAATCCACTCTCATTTGAAGGAGATTTTACTAGTGGATCATTAAAAATAAAAATAAGAACAAGTTAAATGTTGTGAGTGTATGTGCGTGTGCGTGTGCGTGTGCGTGTGCGTGTGCGTGTGCGTGTGTGTGTGTGTGTGTGTGTGTGCACACGCACATATCTTTCTTTTCCAGTGTTTATCCAGACACTGGATATGGCACAGACATGGTCCTACTCTGTAATTCTGCCAAGACATAGGCAAGGCTAACGCATCAAAAACAAAACAAAACAAAACAAACAAACAAAAAAAAACTTCAGTATATCAGAGGATCATCGAAGTCATCATTTTTAAACATGCATACAGAAAGTAGCACATGCCATTGTGAACAGACCCCTTTAGTCTATGAATTTGCAAGCATGACAAGACCCAATCAGAACATTGTACAGAATGTTTCCCCAGTCTTGACTACATGTTGGATAGTGAACTTTGTGAAATCATGGGAAATGCCACTCACTTTTAAGTCACTTCAGCCTTCTTCTGCACCCTCCCACATGCTCAGAGAAACATGTACGTGCCCAGGATTAATGCATGGAATCCAAGGTAATAAAAATGGAGGGGGGGACAAGAAAAAGAGAAAAAATTCCTCACCTCCACTTACAGATAGAATTAGATGAGGCCAAATCGGACAGAAAGACATGCAGAGACACCTCACCCATGGACGTTACCGGCATGATATTATCAAAAAGAAGCAGCACTCATTTGGGAGGTACATAGAAGAGTGGCTGGAGAAAGGGGTTGGGATAGTGGGGAAGATCAGAACAAATACACACTCTGACCTTGAGACACCCAGGTCCTTCCCTACAATGTCAAGTTCAAAGCAGGAGATGGCTGCAGAAGACAACAGGGCATCATGCCAGATCCACACCCTAGGACAGCTTGATAAATACCACCTGGGAGTCAGTGGAAGGAAGGTATCTCCACCCACGGACTCCAAAATTGACAATAAGATGTCTGGGGCAGTAGGTAAGTTTCAGTGGAGATAATTAAGGTTGTGACAACCCTTTGGGAAACTAGTACTTCCCATCTGGGCATCTGATAAATTCCTTGAAAAGGTGAGTCAAGACAGAGGATGCTTTTGCTACAGAGAACGTCCAAGAGGAACTCTGCTGGGGGCCAATCCACCCTTTCACCCGTGGGGAAGACTCACACTCCAACTTCCTCTGTATTCAATAGCTTTGTCACTTGCTGCTCTCGCTACTGACTTCTCAGATGACCCAACATTTTCCCTAGAGCATCCTGTCAAGTATCTTAGGAAGTGAGTATTTTACCAAGGCCATGGAAGCCCCAAGGCCAGATTCAAGTATCAGAGTGAGATTTGCACATACTTCTGAGTACTCCCAGGGGAAACAAGATGATGTGGAGAGATGAAAAACAAAACAAAACACAGTATCGTGAAACCCCAAAGCAGGGCAAAAACTTACGGAAATGTCTGGTTCAGTACTTTCTAAGATGCGTAAATACTCTCTGCCCATTCCCTGCCTAACAAACATAAATTTCCATGCCAAAGTTTATCAAGAAAGGGAGCTCTCAAGCCCCCCTTTTTTCTCCCAGTGCCAGGGTTTGCTGAAGTTCTATTCATTAGATAGTTTTGGTTCCACTCAGCCAAACAACAGTAGTTCTACTTGTAGATCCGCTCTTCTCTTAACTGTGCTCATTAAAGCCCCCTTTGCAGTGGATGGCTGTCAACGAAGAGACTCATTTGGTCAATGTGCTGATATAGATAACTCAGTGGAGCCCTCACCAGCCAAGGCTCGGGGAACTTCAAGCTAGAGGGAGCTTAAAGAATTTAAGAACAGGCAGATGGTGCAGAGAGCTGTGTAATGCTGACTTCCAGACACAATATTTCCACACATTACCTGACAGCAGCTATGACTAACCACACAAGACCTGCCTAAGATCGAACCAGTTAAAGTTCTAGCATGGATGGTATAGACCTTACTCTACTGGTAGAGCTCTAGACAATTTATGGCTGGTGAAGAACAAAGAGCCACTCTCCTTTGGGGATATGGCCACTGGTAAGTTGCTCATGTTTCAGTGAAAGACTGGACACCTATGTGCATATGGGATGCACTAATTGGACTCTGGAGGTTATTAATAACAAAAATAAAAATAAAAAAAGACAGTAAGCTCAGAGGGGGAGGGATGAAGGCACCAGGGAGGTAGTATTGGATGGACATGTACAATATACTTGGTATCAACATATGGAATGTTCAAAGAATAAAAAAAAAAATTAACTCCCCCTATAAAAGATTTTAGCTCCAGATTCTTCATCTCTAGGGAAAGTAAACGTGGCTCAGGGATGCTACTGAATTGCAATGCTAACTGAGTCATTTGCTTTGATCAAATTTCTTAATTCCTTTCAGCTTTGTTTCTTCCCATCTATAAAATGAGAGTAACTGCCTCATTTGCTATGCTGCTGTGAAAATATAAACTGTTAGGTACAGGGTATGCACATAGCACATGCTCTGAAGATTGAAGCCAGACTACAGGGCTCTGAATCCCACTTCACGGGAATGAGAGGGCGTGTCAGCCAACAGACAGGTATCTGGGATGAATAAAGTTAAATGGGGAAAAGTTTCCTTGGACTCAAAACTGCAGGGGTTTCAGTTGATGGTACCGTTGCTTTGGGCATGTGTTAAGGCCAAGCATCATGCCAGGGACCAAAGCTGCTTTCATCATGGTGACTAACAGTGACAGAGAAAAGGGTACAAGGTCACTACTTCAAGGATATGCCTCCCATGGCCTCACTTCCTGCCACTAGGCTGCACCTCCTGTAGACTGCACCACTCCTCCACAGCACCACAGGCTGGCAACCTAACCTTGAACAAAGCAAATGGCCTTTGTGTCATTTCAGATTTAAACCACACATGGGATAAATCACAGTAAGTGGTTTCACCCTTTGCTTGGTTCCTTCATCTAGAAAAAAAGGAATATAATAGTGCCTAGTACCATATATATGTACAATAGGTACACAATATGCCCATACACATGAAAATTAAACAATTTCTCTCACACACAACATGGGACACAATTATGGACACAGAATCCACTCTGAAAACTTATTTACTGATGTCCCTGCTTCTTAGTCCTCATTCTGCATTCTGAAATAAGAAGAGAGTTAAGAATCTA